AATTGAAAAGGTTTCATGTTTGAACAAAGTTAAATAAGAAAATAGTGTTTGTGTTAATCTTGAATGAAAGACGTTGTTGTAACATTTCAAACCATTTATCGTTCACATTTTTGATTTTGGTTGTTTTCAGAGGTTTAAGAAATCCTAAAAAAGTCTAAATGTAGTCCGGCACTGACTTTTGGTTTTAGTTTCCACTTTATGAGCAAATATTTTTACTGCACTACATGCATGTGATGACTGTAGTTCTTATTACAAGAGTTCAAGAATGAGGTTTCACATCAAGTTAAACTCGTGCAGATCCTGCTGCCTGTGGTTAAGTCTGTTGTTTAGCAAAAATGTAATAATTCTAAAGGCATTTGAAAGAAAGCGTTGCTATCACATAACTTCAGAGGCCATTTTGTCAGAAAACAAAAGAAAATAAATTAAATATGTATAACTATCACATGCCATAGTATGAGAGTAAGTTTCAGCAAGTCCTAAATGTGATTTAAGAGAATTTTTTCCTACTTGGTCACAATTTTGACTGTTGAGCTTACGAGTCATAATTTTAATTTACCTTCACAGACGTTTGGCTTAGTAGGTTAACATCCTCCTATGGCACAAGGCTGTTAATGAACATTTTGGTAACCTTGAAGAGATGTTGCAGATCTTCTTAGAATGTTCAGTGCACACTAGTCCCTGGTTTTAACCATGTTCAGGATATGCTGTAAAACACAACTTGACAGCAGCATAATTCAAGTTACTGTTAATCTGTACAGGTGTGTCTCTACGTGACAGTTTTCATCAATTCTGTGCCGAGTTACACACATTACTAATATGAAACTTTGACTTGTGGCTGTACTGAATATGTTTTATGAACAAAAACTAAAATCTCTCCTCATTCATTTTTCCCTTAACCATACAACTTAAAGTGAGCACTTTAGGCTTGCCATCAATTCAATGATGCAGTTTGACTGTTTTACTGGTTCTGCAATCAGCCGTCTGTAGTGTTTCCTAAAACATCCAAAAAGAGTCAATGTGAATCTGATGTATCAGAAAGATCTGGACAGAACTTAGACTCGTTAACTTCAGCAGCAGCATTATTGATGTCCTTCATCTGCAAAAATGCCACCGAAACAGATGGAAAATGGCCACTTGCTCACATAATTCAATGTTGCAGTTGTAGAACTTTAATGGAATCTGTTATTTTTATATGTGGCTTTACATGTTTTTTCTAAAAAGTTCATGATTTGAAATGAAATGACAGAATTGCTCAAATCTGTCTAATAATCAGACTGAACACAAGTCAGCTGCAAAGTTTGACCAAAGGTTTTGCAAGGTTTAAATTTGGTGGGTTGATGTTTGCGGAAGCAGTTATTTTACTATTTACTCTGGTTCAAAAAGTCAAGTCGTTCATTTTAACAGTCAACTCAGGCACCCAAAACCCAGCTACGTCTTAAAATCCAAGCTGTTTCACCATAAAAAAGAAAATATGCAGAGCAACGTCTCAGCAAAAAGGCATGAACGTCTGACCAGTAGATGGCCATGTTTTTTCATCGCAGCACTCATTTAAAGTGAGATGTTTTTTGCAAACTTGAGTGCAACACAACAACACTGCAGCTGTATGTTAAGAATTCAGTGATGTTTTTGTGTCTTTCTCCATGCAAATCTTTGGCCTACTTTCATAAATACCTTATTATTTAGACATTCATGAACATGCAAATGTCTGCATTAGTTTGTTAATTGGTGCACCATTGCTGCTGCTGTTACTACTTACCAGTGTTTGTTTGACACAACAGGTATTTGTGTGTATATTTCAAAGTTAATGTGTCTCTTTAAACAGTGAAGCAGTGCAAGGAAACAGCAATTCTAAAGAGCAGCAGGGAACAGAAAGAACTACAAACATGAGAGAACTACTCATAAGGCTTAAGATGCAAGTCAAGAGGATCTACAAGCGTGACAGCTCGGTCTGCCTTATGCTCAGGATAAGAGAAACGCTAGTCTACACTGAGGATTCTACTTGATGCATTTCCAAACAAGCACATATCTACTGACTAGACTACGAGTGCAGATCTACACCAAGGCGAGGATTAAGCTACAGGCTTGCAGAGAAGAACTAAATATATTCCAAAGCACATCTAGGCTCTCACACACACTAACCCTTGTGCCTGCCTCTAGGTCTAGCCCATAGACAAGAGTGGCAGCAGGGGCCTCAGTGCCTGCAGCCCAGCGCTGGCCTCTCCTGCGACCCACGCTGCTGGCGCCGTAGTACGGAGCAGGGGTCCGGCTCCTGTACTGGGGAGTCCCAGGGTGCCTAGTCTGGCTGCTCGAATCTACAGGGAACCTGTGCTCCCACTCAGAGATGCAGGAGGCTACTGAAGGATAGGCTGAAGAGGAGGAGGATGAGGAGGAGGAGGGGGTGGAGGTGGGGAGAGGGTCCTGAACTGCCCTAACACTGGCTCGATTTTGGCGGGAGGGAGTTTGGCTGAAGTCCTGCAAAGTGATGAGGGAATTGGGGGCCAGGCGTTGTGGATGTTAGCAGATTAACACAAATACACAACAGGGTAACATTCAGTGGAAAAGAGGGGGGGATGTGTTCTGTACACATTAAAGTCACAGAATTTGTGATTATAAATTATGAATTATAATTAGTAACATGCAAAATTTCCACATTGAACCAAGTTGAGACAGCGTGATTAAGTGCACTCTGGTGAACAGGCAGAATAAATAACTCACAGGATGCGGTGACGGTGAAGCAGACCTCTTCTGGGCCATGTTGCGATCTCTTTCCCTGGCCGGCCTCTCAGGCTTCTCTGGACGTTCACTTGGACCGCCACCACCACCACCACTGCTGGTGCTGCTGGTCTCCGTCACGATGGCTTTAAGCTGCTTCAACTTTTCATCCTTCACCCACAGCTTGTTCTGCATCTCCAGCTGCTTGGCGTTGACTCGCCGCTCCTAATTACAAAACACCAGCAGGAAGCAAGTCAGAGAGCAGTCTCATTATTTAAGCCTACATTAAAAGAAAATCTCTGATATTGGGGCATATTCCCTTATATATAAATGAATGGTAGGGCTGCACAAATATAGACAAAATCACAATTATTTATTGATTTTTAGGGACAAAATATTTTTGAGAATTCCATATTTAAACAAACTGAGCACTTTGACCTCCATGTTGCTACATTGTTGGCAATGTTGAAAACATAAGCCTTAAAATATAGTTCTTCTTCACCAGAATTTCACGTGTATTTAACAGACAAAATAAAACCAAATCATACCGAAAACACCATACTTGTTGAAAATATGTCTATCAATAGACTTCTACAATTTAATACTACAATTTGCTGATATTCCTGAAACACCTCACATGCAGGCTATAGCAGATGTTAGCGAAGGAGCTGTGCATAGAGAAGCCTCTAGTCTCCCAACTTAGTTAGTGCAAGGCACATAACTTTGACAAAGACTAAAAATTACTTTAAAACAAGTGAAAAACATTGTTCTAATGTCAGACTTATTCAGGATTTAACCAAGCAATTTTATCTACATGGGCTGTTTTCTATGAGTGGAGCATTTTGAACTTTAGCATTGCAGTTGACCATGTTCACTGATTGGTGGAAAATCAAAATCATGATCGGGATTAAGATCTGATTAATTGTGCAACAAATTAATTCTACCTGATAAATGTTTGAGGAGGAAATCAAAGTAAATATATTGACATTATTTGGGATTTTTGATCATTTTGTGTGCCACAACATAACAGCTTGTTGAATCAAAAAAATAATAATGCTGCTAGTATGTTATATGATAAACAGGTTATCCTCACAGAATAATCTTAAATCAGTTTTAAAAAATACATATTCAGGCTGGCAGGGTCGATGAATTAACTGGTAAAAGTCATAAATATCAGGCATTTTTTGTGTGGTAACCGGCACTTATTTGATCAGGTTTTGTCGGGTTGTGTAGATTTGTTTTAATAACATCACCAACATGTCAGCTGCATCTTCCGACAGTCTGCTTTTTGAAGTTTTAGGAAGAGTAAAAAAAGTAGATTATGAATCTTACATGTTGTTTGTTGGCTGTTTTTTTTCCCTCCCCAATCTGTTTGAGGATTGACAGTATTTTACTCTAAATATAAAAGGTGACAGCACAGCCCGGCATAAACAGACTTATAGACTCGAGTATTAAATATGTGCCAGATCTCAATTTCCAAACCAAACATTGCCAAACAGTAAGGCAGCTGTCAATAATTCCACTTACACACTCCTTCTCCCACTTCAGTCTGGTGTCTGTCACCATGCCCTGCATGCGCTGCTCCATGCGCCTCCTCTCTGACAGCTCTCTCTGCAGTCTTTGCTCTCGCGTCTCCAGCTCCTGCTGAAGAGAGCGTTTGTCCTGCTCATACATGCCTGTTGTCTTTTGCAGGATATCAATCTGGAAAAGGAAATGAGAAAAGAGTAAGTACAATTTTCTCTTGAACAAAAAAAATTAGGGAATTAACATATTCCGCTGCAGATCAAATGTAGAAAACAGACAGCACCTTATATTCCAGCGTTTTGGACTTCTTCTCCAATCGCTCTATCTCTGACCTCTGGTTGAGGATCAGTTTGTCTTTCTCGCTCAGTTTGTTTTGTTGTTCGTGGAGGAAGGTGTCCTTTGCACTGAGCTGACTGTCAAACTGTTGAAGCATGGACTTCAGCGAATTGGCTGCAGGTAGAAAGCACATAGATGTAAGCTGTCAACCACTTGGCTTGAAAAATATTTTTTAAAAGTACAATATCACTTGTTCATACAGACAAAAAAATGCACTCAATGGCCAGAAAAACCTCTTTTCCCAATTCAGTGATTGGAAGCATCACTGATGCATCGTCGTTAACAAAATAAATCAAGTTATGGTTGCCTAACTTCAGTGTTGACGGAGGTTTCTATATACCACACTAGCATTTGTGCTGTAGAACAATAGCCTGTACCAGTTTTGTTGAACTGTTCTGACATCATCTGACGGACACGATGCCTCCTTTCCAGAACCTCAATCAGTCGGGGAAGCGTCTGGTCATCAGCTGGGTCCACCAGCTCACAACCAGGCAGAGCTGGAAGACTTTCTATGAGGTGATTTACAAGAGCCGGGTCATCTGTTAAATAAGTTGTGGGAAAATACATGTAATATTAGTAAGATACTGCACATAAAACCGCAATGATTTGGGAATTCATATCTGACAAGTTTGAATGCAGCTAGACATGAGGATAGAGAATTAGCAGTGCAGACTTAAGGGGAAGTTACCGGCATTACTTGGACCTCCTCGTTCTTCCAGGCGACGTGACAACTCATCTTTAAATGCCTGATTTCTGTATCTGCGCCCTGCAGCAAGGCCACATATGGGTCGGTCAACTGGCCGCGCAACTTCCACCTCCTGGGTCATCTCTGCAAAGCGCATCACCAGCTGCAGTACAAGGAAAGACAATTTGACACAGATTGCATTGTTTGAATTCACATCAAATCACACTTTAGGGTCTTAAACTTTTAACTTTTTAACTTGTAATACCAATGTCAGTTCTCTAAAGAAAAGCCGTTTTAAATGCGCTGTACACAAAACAGTGAGCAGATTTTTGAAAAATGTTTGAAACCTAGTTGTGGTTTTTGTTGAGTTTGAGCATCAACAGACATCTTGGAGGAAATCTTTACATAGTTGGGTGACAAAACTAAACTTGTCTAATGTTCATTGTGGATTGATTGTAAACCAGACAACAGATTCAATCACTGTTAAGACTCGATCATCATCAGGGTAAGATGATCGACTAAAGAGACAAGATTCTACATTTGAGCCATTCTGCTACATAAACACAACATCTTACCATAGTTTCTTCATAATCACCGGCGTTTGGGTTGACGCACACGATCATCCTGACTTTTCCTTCACCATCGAAGTAGTTTTTAAAAAGATGTGTAACTTTGGAGTCCCTGTACGGCACCATCTGGACCAAAACATAGTTGTGTGAAACTGCACTGACTAGAAAATCATCACTGGTAAGAATTAAGATTACATAAGAAGAAAATAAAACAGAAACATTATGAGATAACGACAAGGAGGTGATAAAAAACAAACCTTATTAGTTCCACACATCTGGTTTTCACGTAGCACTTCTATACATGTGCGCAGAGTCATCAAGGACTGGTTGATATTACCTGGAAATGAGACATTATTAGAGATGTTTGGTGTTTTAACAAGTGGTATTACTACATATAACTACAAAAAACTTGGCGAATGGGGGAAAAAGCATCTTTAGAGAGAAGTCCAAAGAGTGAAAACAAAAAGAACTGACCTGCTTCACGGAGGCGGCTTCCTTCAGCTCTGGTTCTGCTGGTGCGTTCACTGCCTGCCAGGTCAACCAGACACAGCTGGCTCACATTCACCTGGTTTTTGTCCTGTATTTCAATAACATCCTGTCAGTATCAGCAAGGACCAGCGGGAAACACTGTGTGTACTAATTTAGCCTACTTTTAGTCACAGCTTGATAGCTCAAATTAAAAATCAGAGAAAGGACTACTGGGATTCATTTAATAAACATTTATTCTAAAAAATACAACCAGAATTGTAATGTTGTAAAAACAGAAAACATTTGTTGGAGCTGCATCTCACCTGCAGTATGTGATCTCCATCAGCATCAAGAGGAGCTTGTGCCAGCTTCACTGTGAACACACTGTGGGAGCGGCTGGACTCACGATTGAGCTGAGTGTTGGCGATCCTCCTTTTCTTTTGCCCTGCAGACAGAGCAGATAATTAACACAATGTGTGACATTAAAAGTTTTAACATTTAGCACCACTGGATGTCACTAGAGCTCCAGCATGGCAGACCAAAACAAATGGGCAAATAAAATGACTTTGTTTTAATTAATTTTTTAAAAAATTGCACTGGATAAACGTGTGGCTGCAATTTGCAGTGTGGGAAGTTGCCCTCAGGTTGTTGATAGTATAGAGAGGACCAACGGATTCAAAGGGAGGGACTCTCACTAACTACCACAGGAGGCCAGACTGGCTGCCAAAACATAGAACATAGAAGTCTGAATAACAACAAACTCAGGAAGTGTGACTTCATTCTCTGCTACAGACATCATTACTCGAGTGTAGCTTCACATATTAGACAACTGTTTGCTACTATATTGACACCATGTGTTCTTTGTCAACATGAGTAATGACTGAAATCATTATATCTTTATAAAGTCATCAAATTAATTTTCCAATTATCCCTGTTGAATTGATTAGTAAAGTTACTATTTAAACTGATAGTAGCCACTGAAGGCTCAAAATTGCTCTACTGTATGTCAGCTCAACAAGAACATTATAACAAAGAAAAATCCCTGAAGATGCCTGCCCATACACATTAAGGGAGTTTAATCAAACTCCTCTGAATACTTTGGTGGTGGCTAACACGAGAAGAAAAAACACTTTTTACAATATGCAGAAAACCTAAATGGTCAGCATGTGAGTGGAACACAAAACACAAAAAAAGAGGAAAAGTTATTAGTACCACTCACCTTTCCAGAAGACTTCAAAAGCCTCCTCTGTTGATTTCACCTCGACTTCTGTGCATCCAGCGACATACATGTTATGATTCTGATCTTCACGCAGAATCTTGGATTGAGGTGGTCTAAAACAAGTTCATAAAAAGAAATCAACATACACCAACAACGTAGCACGATGATGAGTTTCTTTAGTAAGATAAGCAGCAAAAAGCTAAATGACAAACATCTAATGTTAGTGTCAGCGTTAAAATTAAATATAATTCCGGGAGAAACAGCAACACATTCAGGGGTACAGACACATGCACACTGGGTTTGCACACGAGCTTCAGCCATTCAGGGACATTATGCGTCTCCATGGCAACAGTAACAAGACAGGGCCAATCCTTCAAACAGCCATCGAAATGACAACAAGCTAGTAATCTACACCTATGCTAATTACAGAGCTCTGGATTAATGGGATGGAAATGCACTGACGACCTAGACATCATGTCAGCTAAAGCTTTGACAGCTCTATGTAATGCTACTGTACTGGCCACATACACAAACTCATTGTTCCGTACAGGCGTGCCTCCAGCGAGCCACCTAACAAAAACAGGATTTGTAGAAGTACAACTGGTCAACATACAACTATAGAGCAAATAAATCTGCACATACAACACAGTCACAATGACTGTAAAACACAAGTATAACTCAAACATTTGTGGCATTCAACAGCTGGGCGTAACTATGTGGGTGTTGTTGGGTATTTGTGCAACTTCATGTTCTCAAATACAAATAACTTCTGTACAGACATAACATGACATTGTGTTTCAAAAAGCACACATTGATTTGTGATCCCGTCGCTTACTTTGGTCTGATTGGGTCGAATGGAGCATCTTCAAGGAGGTCGTAGATATAGTTGTTGTAGATCTCGATGTAGGACACAAACACGCTGTAACAGCAGTCTTCATCGACGCTGTCAGACTTACAGGCTTCCTCTGAGCTGATCATATCTGCAAACTCTGGATCAGCCTTCTGCCTAGAAAACAAAACCAAAGCAACGTGATAACCTGCAGTCAGATTGTATCTTAAATTCCGCTTCTTCCAATTTAATCACTACTAGTGACTATGGTAAGTACAGACAGTAAAAACTGAAATAAAATTACTTGTAACTACCTGGAAGAGGGCGTTTTTGGCACAGACTGCTGACTGTCTCGCTTCTGTCGCTCCAGGAGAGCATCAACTTGACTCTGGATCTCCAAACCATTCTTGTCATCTGGTTTGAACACCTGGCGAAGATTTTAAGCATTTCAAATAAATGTTCTATCCCTTCTCCAAAGAACGGAACGCTTCTTTTTAGAAATGAACTCTGGTAAGAATGAATCACTTAAAGTCTTACAAATCTTTTGGCCTGAAAGGGGCCAATGCTGTTGAAGAGCATGTCTAGAGAGCGGGGGAGGAGTCCACCTTCGCCAGGTGAGCCGGTCATGGTGAAGGTCTTACCACTTCCAGTAACACCATATGTAAACAGCAGACCTGGAAAGATGAAACAGGAGACAACTCCTAGTTGCAGAGGATCAGGTCTAATGTTGGTGATGATATACATGTCAGAGAAAACATGACTTTTCTCTGACGAACGCCCCAAAATCTAAAGAAATTAAAAATAAAATTACATAAAAACTGTCAAAATCAGTCAGCCTTCACTTTTGTGGATTTTAAATTTCCAAATATTTTTTACATCTTTTGACAACTTTTCAAGCAATGTTGTGATGATGAACTAAATCTTTAAAAGAGTGGAAAATAAAAATCTTCACAGTACACACCATACACTTCATGCCTTGTTAAAAATTATTAACCCACTTACCATTTTTACAATGAATGAGGTCCTCTACCAGGGGCTTGGCAATATCCTCAAAGAGCTCCATTTGAGTGGTATTAATGCCAAATACTTTTTTGAAGGAGTACTGTGTCTGTGTAAAAAAAAAAAAAAAAGAATAAACACTGAATGGCATTCACCAATAAAAAAACACTATTGTAATATATTAAACTTGTTTGTGTCCAAGTAAGTCTCAGGTCTCTACAGAATAAAACTAATAGCAGGGATTTGTTTTGGTTCACTAATGAGTTTTTTCATCTTTGCTAAAAACCAAAAATGTATCAAAGCAAAGCCCTGACTGAGCAAAACCATCAGCAACTTGACAAGATACTGGTTGAGTTCAACTCACTGGTGATTCCTGATATTTTCTCCAGTTGCTTATTTAGTCAACAGATCATCAGCGAGATGTCAGAGGTGAACGATAACAAGTAGGTAGTCAATTTGCTTCACATGTTTGGATAATTTACCAAGCAGTAAGCGTTGCAACACACTTACCTCCTTGTATTCCCCATTACGGTTGGCTTTGAGACCATCAGGAGCATGCAGCTGAATCGTGGAGCTGCTGATCATCTCAACACAACACTCTTCATCTTCTCCTCCAAGTGGGCGTATACGGCAGTACACCTGCAGGAAAAACATTTTAAAATCAGTAGGAGGATATTTCTAATCAGGTGTGTTTTGATATCGGAATTTAAACTCTATTAGGCGAACAGAGGGGAAAAAAACCCTCACAGCTGACAAACTACAGGATTATAACTACCAGTTACTCCCATTATTAAATAATTTGTAAATATTTTTTTGATTAACTATTTGGTTTCTGAAAGACCAAAAAATGTTAAACATGTGCGTCACACTTCCCTACAGTCTAAGCTTGTTTGACCAACAGTGTCATCATCAGACTTAATACATTTAAGTCTTCATATCTTGTGTTTGTAAGAATTACCTAAGCAACACAACGTAAATAGGAAAACTATAAACTTTCATTTCATGTCTACCGAGTGCTTAAAAAGGGAAACATTCTTTGCTTTTACTGCGACTGTGCTGTGACATTGTTCCACTTTGATCATTCATGAGTAAACCATGTTTACTTACTCCCACAGGATCTTTATCTATGTTGGATGCCTTCTTGGGGCCAGGCCTCCGAGGAGTCTTCCCTCTACCGTAGCTGACAAAAAAAATAAAAACATAATCAAACACCTTTTCGCTACATTATGGTTAGACGCGTTAATAGTTGATAATGTAGATATTTCACCTGGCCAAAAGTAGGACTGAACATAAATCAATATCCCAACCACAGGAGCTGCAATGTGTTAATAAAAGGTAAAGCGTGTCACAAAATACTACTACGCTGGTCTGTGCTGAATCCAAATATTACATTGGCTTTGCTCAATGAGGTCAAAATTTTGATTTGTCGCCACATGCAATTACTTGTAATTACCTTTCCAAATGTTTACACTCATCAACTTTTGGATCATTTAGCTTATGAAAAGGATTAGAAAATGAAAATTTTCCTCTAAAATCCGATTTCATATGAGAAATGTTAAAACAAAAGAATCGCTAATGTCAAAAAATGTAATCGATTAAGTAGCAAAATCAATTTCATTTAAATCTGGCGTAAAGAGCTGGCGTAAAAAACCTGACCTGATACAAAAAAGCAGATGTCATTTTTGGATTCAGCGTTGCTGAAATGTCCTAACTCAGTTAAAAAAAATCCTAGACACCTTCAAAAAAATATTTTTTTTGTAACCCAGTGTTATAGATGAAGCACTCTGATGCTACAGAGATGCTCCAGCCTAAATATCAGGTTTTCCAGACAAAAGGAAATGTGCTCTTCGGTACCGACGGCGGCAAAAATCTCACCAACTTCATGTTTTGTTTTCTATAGTAAAAAAGACATGAAATGACCGTTCAAACTAAAATCAAATCCTAATAATATAGGATGTTGTTTGTGTATCATGTATCTCTAGCTACAGGTATGTGGACATGACCTAGTTCATACTCAGACATCAGAAAATACAGCTTTATTTCATGTAGAGTTAGGAAAGAACTTTTTCAAAGATAGGAACAAATTACTGTCTAAAAAAAGTATTTAAATTTAATTAAAAGGCCAAAGACAACTAAACCAAACCAAAAATGCACATGAATATAATGTGATGGATCATTAACAAATTACACAATATCAAAAATGTAACCATCACAAAAAGAGGACAGTGTTATAAAGTGATCTGACAAAAACTGTGTTTCATGTTAGGATCCTTTGGTCAACTTTATATACGTCTATAGCTGCTTTTATGTGGATCAGACAACCATAACATGCAAATATACACAACTTCATGTCTGTGGGGACAACAAAAGTGTGTCTTTGTGTAAGTTTAACAATTTTCTGACCAAAAAAAAAATTGTTCATAGTGTAATCAGATCAGATCTTATAATCAGTATCGATTATAGGCAGCGTTATAGCATTGTTTCCTTTGTTTAGGTATATGTGTGTTTGTCATGTCTAATATCTTTGTTTAGACTGTAATTAACATGATTTACAGGTGAGTTTTAAACAAAAAAATCAAGGTATCATCTTAAAAATATTACCCTTATGAATGAAATCTGTCATTTGAACCATTATTAACATTTTTGCCACAATGTCGAGGCTGCAATCCCTTTCTGGCAAATGGAAAAATTAATTATAGAGTTGAATTGGACCTTTAGAGCTAATTTAACCAATAAAAACAACTGGCATGGTTATACTTAGAGGACAAAGTAGGTAAAGATAATGCGGAGATAGTTGGTCCCAGTAATGACAGTCAGTTTTAGGCACAACAACGACTGAATCAACTCCTCTGAACAGTTTGGCTAACTAGCTAGCTAAGCTAGCTCAGGTGTCACTCCATCAACAAAACATCTGAACTCAACACTATATTTGCAGCGTTCAGCAGAATAACTTTTTGCCATTTTATTAAAAAGTACATTTTAAGGTTTAGTATTTATTAGCTTTGAAAACTGAATTCTGAGTTTAGAAGTCGATGTTGAGCAGCTGCCAAACAGAAGTCTGTTAGCTGCTACACGGTGATAAGCTAACGTCACCGAGCTATCCCACCTAACCGAACTCACCTTCCGCTTCAGCTTTTTAACACAGAACAACCGCTACCTGACCAAACGTACCGATAAAATAAGTTACCGAAATACCGTCACACACTGTGCAATTGTAGTGTGTCAAATGTCGACGGAGTTAAATGTTAAAGATGTTAATACTGACCCGGCTCGCTGCATTGTTTGTGTTGAGGAGCTCCTTTCCGCTGCTCTCCGGAGCGCCGCTTCTCGATTTGAATATTCCCTCTGCGAGACGTTGAGCTGACGGTCACACATGTCAGCCAATCAGAGCGCAGACAGAGCGACCTGCAGCGGAAATCCCGCCTCCACTACCTGGTCCTCGATTTTTTATTTTTTTTTTTACAAGAGAACTTTATTTAACAAAGAAAGTACACACAAAGAATTGTACAAATAACATAAACAAAGAATTTGGCATGTGCTCATAATGATAAACGCATTTTGACAGTTTTAAATTCTACATTAATTGAAAAACTAAACATTAAATAAAAATTAATAATAATATATATATTTTTTAAAAACACAAAGGGGACAAGGGGAGGGGCGTCATTGTTCTTTTTGGAACAGTTCTTTAAATATTTTTGACAGTTTTATTGCTTTTTTGTTATTATATTATTTAATGTTTTAATATGTTATTCAAAGTCAATAGGTTATTTCTTTATTTTTGTGATCAAAGTAAGTTATGACACTTTTAGAATCAATTTTAACATCAACGTTAGTTTTACACAATATATAATTCTTAGTTTGATTCCAGAAGATAGTTGAATAGGGACATAATGATTCAGTGTCATTTTTACAGAAGGTACATTTATTTGCAATTTCTAAAAATTTGGAAAAGTATGAGTTTGTCACACATATATATTATGTAAAAAGTTAATGTGTACTTGTTTGTCCTGGATCAGCTAAATCACTGCTCATTCCAGGTGGTATTTATCATTTAGAAGGATTTAAATCTCATTTGAGTGGTCAAGAACAGAGATATATAATCTAACATAACTCTCTGAATGCCAGACATTAATTTTATTGATATTGTTTTATTTCTCATTTTTAAGCTGTTGTTTGCAGCCTTGTAACCATAGAAAGATGGAAGTAGCTACCATGATGTCGCCCGTATGTTTCTGCACCGAGAAAATGAAACTGATGATCAATCAGATCGGATCAATAATGTTATTGCAGTCTTTTATCTGCTGCCGTCTCATGGCAGACAGTAACGATCAGCAGAGAGAAACTAAACCAAGCTAGCGTTACACCACAGGACTCTGTTACTGATAGATGTTAATCTCTCAGTTCAATGAATGAAGCTCAGTTCAGTTCATGTCTCTGTTCTCTGGTTTTTAACAGCTTCTGGTCATTTCACTGAGACAAACATCTGTTGAAATGATCCCTTCTCTTTCAGAAACAGTGAAGTTACTGAGGTCTGATCACCATGATCAGCATCACACTGAACCTCAGAGCTCAGCCACAGTTACTGTCTGTTATTTCATGTAAATCAGTCCAGCAGACTGTTTTCTCTACGACAGTGTTTATCAGACAACTGAGGAGCTCATGTCTTCAGAGTGCTGGTTTCCCTTTTCTCTATTAATCACATTATCATACTTTGAAATAAAAACAATAAACTTTATTGTCCTTCTAAGACAGTAAAATGTTCTTTGGCCTCATCCAGGGAAACAAATATTTGTAAAATAGCTTGCAAAAGTTTTTGCAGGCTCAAGAGAAAGTTTTCCGAGATCTCACAAAAGATACCACTATTTTTTTTTCTCTCCATGTTTGTTTTTTTCTTTCTCCATGTCCCTTCCTGGGCTTCTTACCTTTCGGGGTTCCATACAGGTCAAATACTTACTTGGAAAATTGCTGAAATTGGTTCAAAAGCAAGAGCCAGCGTTGCTTAACACATTCAAATTGATGCTACAATTTTCAAATGTGGTCCAGCCTTGAAAACTAATTACAGACATATTCAGAAATTAAAAACAACTTTAATTAAAAAACAAAAAACAAAAACAAAAACAATTTTGTAATCTATAAAACATTGATACTTGTAGGAAAAATACTCACACTGCAACATTGCTGGATGTGTAACACAGAACACACTTCATTAAAATCACAGTCAGATTTGGTTTACAGTTTATTTGAAAAACTCATAATAAATAACTTTCAGTTGTGCATTAAAGGAATATTGTAATGATGTCTGCCGAGACACAAACACCAGTCATTTGAGGGGAAAAAACTACCCTAAAATCATTAAATCATACATTATCAGTTGTTAAACTTTCAATGTATTAAGTTGTTCATTATCAGGCAGCTCAAACTCGAAAGCAAAAAACTCAACATTCCTCATCAAAAGTGTTTCTTTAGTTTTAATGTGATGAACCTGAGTAACGTCTCCTTTCACCGAGTAAAAGTGAAATCTCATAAACTGTGTGCAACAATTATAAATACAAAAATGTACAGTGTCTTAATTTAGCATAAAGATTTTAAATTGACAGTGAAATTAAAATTCTACATAGTTTTCATTCCCTGAAGTCTTCTCATGCACCACACACGTGGAAATCAAAGAACTGAGCGAAATAACGTTTCATAAATATATTAAAAAACTGCTTCAAAATGTAGCTAAATGTAGCTAAGCTGCTACATATGTAGCTTCATATAGTTTCCTCAGAAACATTTAGATTCATACATACCGTGGTAACAAAAGTTTTGCTAAGTTTCCATTGTAAGTTTGTACAACTCACATTTTTTATGTCTCAAGGCTCAATACAATCATATACGTTCATTTAAACATGACACCGTCTCCTCACAGTTCAGCAGCATATTTTACCCATAATGCCTCTTTTCACACGTCTATAAGTCTTGTTCAGCCACGACTGCAGCTGGAGCTTCAGGAGCAGGGCCAGGGTTTGGTGGAGGCTTTCTTTGGACCTTTCCCGTGTTTCTTTTCTCTGCAGACGGGGCCAGAGAGGAGAGGCAGGCTGAAGAGGGCGATGACGACCAAGTTCAGCACCACGCAAAGCAGCGCCGGACCCCCCGAGTTGGCGAAAGTGATGGGAATGGAGTTCTGGATGAGCCAGGGCCGTCGCGTCAACATGTCCTGCTCTATGGCCTGCATCTGGAAGTGGGTGCCCAGGATGCTGCACACATGGAAGAGCTGGTGGCTGTGACCTGCAGAGGGAGCAGTCGAGTCGCGTTAGTCACAGGACTCGCAGAGGTGGTTATACATTAAACATTATTCCATAATGTTTAACACAACTAGGAGAATGCTTTCTGTGTTAATGTGAATCTAGACTGTCCTGACTGACAATTCTGGTATCTGAGAGGTTTATCTTACAGCAGCTTACTGTACTTAAAAACTCAAGACCATTTGTTTCTGCACGTTTATATAGATTCTCAGTTTTGGCAGGTTTTCCTTGCATGTATTCAGGTTCTAAGGTTCTCCTCCTCTGAGTCCTTGACTTTGATTACTTGTCTCTGTAGATTCTCAGTCATCCAGCTCATGTTAATCCTTAGAGCTTCAGTTAAAAAAACAATTTACCTCTCATCTAAGAAGCTTTTTTTGTTCTTAGGAGGACTGAGAATCCACACAAACTTTTTTTTTATTGTGCTGCATTATTTTGTTCTTTACCCACTAATTGATTTGTAAGATTTGGCCAACATGTTGTTTACGACACACTTGTTGTGATAAAGGGTGACAGAAATGAATTTACCTTAACTTAGAATTAATCTGGACTTTTTTCACAAGATATTTAACTTTGAACTTTAAAGAGCCCCTCCAGTGAAAATCTAGTTGTTTTTGTACCACGTTAAAATGTCCACGTGGTGTTTTTTTTATGCTAGAAGGAATATTATAAGCAAAATAAGTGTTCAAAGTCATAGTAGCACATTCCTGCCTTGAAACCGAACTGCATCAGTGACAATCTCAAAAACACAGACTTTCAAAGTTTCAAGTGAAACACGCCTATGGAAGCAATCCTGTCAAGTTGCAGGGTGGAGCTTTCTGTATCATTCTTCTTCTTCAGAATAGGATTATGGTTTAAACTTGTAAAACTTATGACAGTGTAGGGTGGAGGGAGAGGCGTGGACGTCACACTGGAGATTCACACGTTCCAGAGGAAGCAACAGATGCAGAGTTACATCTAAGACTGGTGTCTGTGTTTGCCTGGTGGACACATTTTGCAATCTAAGTCTGCAAGAGTCCACATGGACACTTCCACGGATGTGCATGCAGCACAAAGTTTCCACGGTGCAACAATGCCACTGTGGCAATAGCGTGTATGTTCGACAGTAGTGTGCATACATGGAGTATGTAGCTATGTCTGGACTCCAAGTGGACTTCTGCTGATTAAAGGTAGTGAATTAACAACAAATACACATCTGTGGGTGTTGGCTGCTGTCAGTGTGTGCATCTACAAGGGTGTCAAATCAACGTTTAAGTCATTTTGAAACAAAAAAAAGGGCATTTTAAAGAAAAACAACAACTCCTAAATATGATTTTCATACATCAAGAGGGACTGTGTGCATTGCTACAGTTATTGGTGCCTAGAAAATGTTTTAAAAATAGTTCAAACGGTTCAATGAATCGTGAATAAAACACTGAAAAAACACTGAATTAATGTAAACTGAGAGACAAAGCACAATACAGTGGTACAGACACGTTTAACGTAAACATGCTTTGGGGCTAGAATGCAGCATTTCTCTTCTTTTTGAACTATTCATCAACTGGCTCTCTTGCAGGTAAATGATCCCTTTGTTCAGCTGCCTTTCAGTGCCGACCAGGTGGTGTAGAGTGTGTTTCTACACAAAACCAACTCAGATACCTGCTGTGACTGGAAACAACACTGAGAGCAGTCAGAATTAATCAGATCATTAAAGCTTAAAACAAAATAAAAAAAAAAAAAAGTGTTAAAAGCAGAGCTGAGTGGGAACAGCAGACTAACTCTCCGTAGGTCCACTGGGCAGAAAGAGCCGTTTTTAACATGCTAATGACAACAGTAAGCAGTCCTGAGATCAGTCTTACCGATGTAATCGAAGCTGCCCGGTGCCAGGCGCTCAGGTAAATGTGTGGCGAACAGGAAGGCAGTGAGGAAAGCCAAGGCGATGTGTTTGTAGTGCAGCATGTTGGTGTCGTTGTCTGTACAGCCGTCTCCTACACAGAGGAAAACCTGTGAACACAACACACAGTCAAATCAACATTAGTCAGAAAACGAGACACAATTTTCAGCACCTTTATATTTCTAAATGAAGGTCTGAAGTCTCTGCCAGTGGAGCTGCTGGGTGACTTGGTTTTAGCCAAAATGGTAAAAATACAACTCAATTAAAAAGACACAGAGAGAGAGAACATCCACAGTCAAAGCCAGAACCATAGATCCAAAAGAGGAGCTCATAATTATTGATTTTCAGATATTCATGTTGGTGCTATAAGAGGAACTGGCTTTATGAATCACTGGAAGAAAAGTCTTTGATAATCCTGCTGTACACCAAACGCTGCACCGTAAACCAGGCCGCCACCTTCAATTAAAAGCTTTCTTTGTTTTATGACATAACTGAATCATCTGAATGTAGTTTGTGTTTGAAACTCTCAGCTTTCATGGCGACTTTACAGTGATGGTTGTTGGTTTGTTTAAAACCATGTGTTAATATTAATAACATTCTGTGTGTCATGTTTTTTTGATTCTGTGTCCAACAGAACAAGAACAAACTAATATGTAACCGTAGCAACTCTGGAGTTTATCACTTGATCTCTTGATTAAAATCTACTCGTGGCCTGAATTCCACAGACCTCTGAAGGTGTTTACTAGTATCATCCACCAAGTCTCGAGCAGCAGATCCTTTAAATTCTTCAAGCTGTGAGGTGGTGTCTTGTTTTTCCAGAATACGAGTCTTGAATTCTTTGTCATGTTCGTCAAACCATTCTTGAGCTGTTTTAGTGGCGTAACAGGAAGCTGAAAGAGGCCATGGGGGAATACTGGGGTGACGGTGGTCTAAAACAATGTTTGTGTCAAGAAACATCACATGAACGTCAGGACCCAGTCTGACATTGTCCAGATCATCACTGGCTCGCCTCCTTCTGTTCGTGCATCCTGCTCTTTTTCAAGCAAACAACACACAAGGCTGATGTGATTCATGAGTCCAAGCAGTTTTCGTCAATCAGCTGGTCCGGTTTTGACATTCGTCCGTCTGTCGTAGCTGCTTCAGGTGGCGGACAGAAGTCGACACGTGCACTCTGACTAATGTTACATCTGAGATAACACTACGTACAAAAGAATGCGTGTAGAAGTATGGAGCACCAGGGTCAAGATAGTTCAAGCACGTTCAGAATCTTGTGGCGTGCTTCAGTGCAGTACAACAGAAAAAGAAACAAACAGCAATTCTTTTTCACTATTAAGGTATTATTGCTCCATTTATTGCTGTATAATCCACACACAGGACGGGACAAGAGCCTGTAATTACCATCCAATAGTTGTGCTTCACATGTGTCCTGTGTGAAGGAACATGTGTGATGTGTGAAGTGTTCCTACCCTATAGAACAGAGGAATGTTGTCGAACAGGTAGGGGTAGGCGAAGGCGGCCACACGCAGGATTTTGCTGAACTTTGGGCTCTGGCATTCCCGGAATCTAAACAAAAAAAAAAGAGAAAATGTTATCATAGTAATTTAAAAAAACACAAACAATTGATGAATTATTCCTCACAGTGACACTGTGGAGAAAGCTAAGCGCAGCATAACCACTGGTCATAATGTCAGAATTGGTGATTTAATATCATTTGATTTTAAAAATAAAAGGAACTCAGATTTTCATAATCGTACAGTAAATGATTGAGGACAGTAGTAAAGAAATGTGGTAATAAATATGTTCAAAAATGAGCATTTTAACAAAATAAATGCTAAAATTGTGGTAAAACTGAGAAAAATTAAATAAAATGGCATTTTTTCTGCACAGAATATAAATGTTGTGCTTGACAGAACATATATTATTATCATATATACAGCAGATATTTTAGTATAATCTCTCACTCTGCATCCCTTCAGTTCACCAGTTTACTAAAAATAATAAACAACATTTTAAAAACTAAAAGAAAAATGTATAAAATAGTAGAGTATGATAAATATATGTGACTGTCAGTAACACAATGTGCCATAAAAGTTGTCAATAAGCATGTAGTTTGCTAACAATGCTTGTTTGTTTCATTTCATTTTGCTCTAACATACTGTGTGTCTTTGCCATCTTGTAAACGTATGCCTCATAAAACTCTGCCATAAAGTGTCTTGTGCAAAGTGAGAATATTGATGAGCAAAAAAAAAAATTCCCATTGAGCAGCAGCTGGCAGGTTGTTTGTGTGGGAGGTTAAAGCCGATCACACAACTTGTAGTGCTGGTGGGAGGAGGCGAGAGTCATTCAGAAGTCTGATGGCCTGCAGATAACAACTTTAATTTCACACTCCTGCTCCCTGAAGGTGAGAATGTGGAGAGACTGTGGAGCGTTGGGAACTTTTCCTCATACTTTCATATCCTGTTTGATACTTTGACTGTCTTTGATTTTCTTACAACAAAGTCAGAAAGTCAGGTTTGTCACCGAACATGTTCTGCTGCTCTTTGTGTCCAAACCTGCTGAGCTGAAACTACAACCGTGAGTCGCCCACTGTTCTGCTCAGGCCAACACCCTTTGCGTTAAACAGAGAGTTGCTCAATGGTGTCTTTGAAATCCCAGTTAACAATGTCTGTGGGATAAAGTCTGTCTGAGGAAATGTCAATTAAAAAAAAAAAAACACACAAACACATTTTTAAAGAAGGAAATTTGTCTAATGCTGCCGTCAGTTTAGAACACATGATAGATGGAAGAGGGAAGAGACAGAAGGAGCAGATTTGTTTATTTTTTTTAGCAAATTCTTTACCTCTGCACGATGTCATGATTATATTGTAGAAACGGTAAGCCAAGCCTTAGCGGAGGGGAGAGATGGGTGAAAGAACAATTATTAGCTTTGCCAGACCCACTGCACAAAGAAGGAAGCTGTGATATTTTTACACAGAAAGTTTCAGCACAGACAAACCTTTACCACAGACTTCATGCTTTATCTGCAGGAATAATTCAGATTTTAATGCAAACCACACCCCGCATTGTGCTTCAGATACCAACCACAGGGTTTGGCAAGATTTCTGTTACACATTTACTCATAAGCAGCCTCCAAATAAATGAGAGAAGTCACATGAAAGGGTTTTGTGATGTGCTGTAAAACACATTGCTCAACTGTGGCTGAAGTAGGGATGAAGTTATAACCGAACAAATGGATGACATGTATTCAAAGACTGGTTTAAGGATTACAATAAACAATCTCCAGGTTCAGCTCAGATGTGCTTCGAGCTTAACGGTGACACAATAGTGTTGCAGGTTTACACCTACTCAGTGTTAACTCGCTGACATTCAGCTGGTAAAATAAATAAATATACAGTACAGGTCACATTTAGTTTGTGCTGATGGTAAACCTCAGTCTTTGGCTCTTGTGATTTATCGTCACGTCAAAGTCACAGAGATCAGTGTCTGTTTTTAAAAAGGTGATTTTTTGAGTAGAATGTATGAAGTCAAAACAGCACCTGAAGGTATTTCTAGACCTTAAAAGACTTTTCTGACTGTTTACACTTTAGAAAAATGCACCCAGAGCAGGAGCTTGTCACGTAGTGAAGGGAACTAGTGAAGCTGCAGAAGAGTTCATTTGCAAAAACAGAGAACTTCATCTTCACAAACCTTCAGAAGACCCACTTTACCATCTTCTACCTGAGACAAGATCAATCATCTAAAGTTATTGCTATATTTTTAAATGTTATTTCTGCTGAGTCAAATCCACTCCACTTCAGTTTGTGTGGTGATCTGAGTTCTGTGCTTTGTGTGAGACTGTGTTTAGTGTATGTGTTTCTTGTTGTTTCTTGTGGCTGTGACTGTGTTGTCAGGCTGGGCGGGGTGTCCAGACAGGAGGGTTAGGGTTAGCTCTACTCCATACCTTGAGGCCCATCAGCAATCAGCGCTGGATAAAGCCTGCCTCCACCAGTGGATTATCCTCCGTTGAGTGGTGACAGGCCAGCAGTGTGCTGAGAAACTTTGTGCTCTGTGTAACTCGCTTTGTCTAACGTGCTTTCGTCTGCGCTCATTGCCAGAACCTCCCTGTCGGATCGTTGCCTCCCCAGCCCAGCTTCAGCAGCAGAACCCCAGCCTCAGTTGTCCTGCCTCCTGGTCCTTCGTGGAAACTTCCACAGGAATCCCCTCCCTCACTCGGCTACCCTCACGAGCTTCCTGGTGTCCCTTGCTTCCCTGCACCTGTCAAATAAATCCCTCTTTTCTTCAATCCCAACCCTGAGCTGCATTTTTGGATCCCTCCTCGACTGAACTCTCACAGTTTGATTGATATTATCTCAAACAACAAAAAATAAGTGTTCTGAAAATCCACAAAAATAAAGTTATCTGTTTTTGCGAATGAACTCTTCATTCTCTAATGCGAGCAAAGACACTGGACAGAAGCATCACGTCATGAAAAGGTTACCTTCTGTCATTTTCTGTTTTCATACAGTCAGTTTATATTTTACTTATGCTCCTGACATAAGCATGAAATGACTTAAAAATGGATTTTGTGTTTGAAATATTGGATGAAATATTTCTTTATTCAGCTGTTTTATGGGGATTTTAAAGGCTTTGGGAAGAAACTTCAGATACTTCAGAATAATGGATGCTTCGTGACTTAAAGATGGGGCCAGATAATGTCAGCGTGCAAACACGAGCATGTTAACCTGCATAACATGTTGCTCAGACCCTGTTTTATACCAGACATCAACATTAACCCTTAGATGTTCTGATCACAAATGGACAACTCTCAGTGCATCTGCAGCCACGACCTGGGATCAGATCTCACACTGTTTGTGACTAAATGTTGTTGTTGTAGCTAGTAGATGACAAAATCACCATTTTGTCTGTGATGCTGTTGGAGAATAAATGAGTGAAGACTTCCACTTAGTCATTTATCTGAGTGTATGGATGGTAGGTAGTCGAGGTAATATGTAGTTAAAGTGGCAATCTGAGCTCAGATTACCTCTGATTGTTCGGTGCATTAACACCTTCACTGAGAGCTGTCCGCTTATGATCAGATCACAAGATGCATAACAGGTGTGAATAGAGCTGAAGATAGGAGCAGCATCAGCAGTATTTGTGTAACATTAATCCCCTCAGCGTACCTGGAGTAGCAGGCCAGGATGGTGCAGAGGACGGTGTTGAACACAGCGATGGGGACGTACCAGCGGTGGAAGGAGCTGTTC